GTGTCCCCTTTGGGGCGGTTTTGGGGGTCTGAGGGGGGTGGGAGCGTTCCCAAGCTCTGACTGCCAGCTCCGTGCTCCTGGGCTCGGCCCCAGCCGCAGGTTTGGGGGTCTGGGGGGTCCTGGGGCAGTTTTGGGGTGGATCGGGGCAGTTTGGGGGGTCCTGGAGGGGTTTTGGGGGGTCTCAGGGGGGTTCTGGTGTTCCCGAGCTCCGACCACCCAGGATCAACCCAGGAATTCCTGAAAGCCGCGGGTCCGGGGGAGTTTTTTGGGGTGTTTTGGGGTGTTTCTGGGAGGTTTTTGGTGGTTTTTTGGGGGAGGTTTTGGGGTGTTTTTGGTGGTTTTTTGTGGGTGTTTTGGGGTGTCTCTGGGAGGTTTTTGGTGGTTTTTTGTGGGGTTTTTGTGGGTGTTTTGGGGTGTTTCTGGGAGGTTTTTGGTGGTTTTTTGTGGGGTTTTTGTGGGTGTTTTGGGGTGTTTCTGGGAGGTTTTTGGTGGTTTTTTGGGGGTGTTTTGGTGGTTTTTGGGGTCCTGAGCCCCCTGTCCCCGCAGACGCGTTCCCGGGCAGCGAGCCGCGCGTGCTGGGGCTGGCCATGGTGCCCGGGCACCACATCGTGTCCATCGAGGTGGAGCCCCCCTACCCCTGAGGGACCCCCGGGGACCCCAGGCACACCGGAGAGACCCCCAAAACACTGGATGGACCCAAAAACCACCTGAGAGACCCCAAAACCACCCCTGGATGGACCCCAGAAATAACTGAGAGACCCCAAAAACACCTGATGGACCCAAAAAACACCGAAGAGACCCTGAAAACCACCCGAGAGACCCCAAAACCACCCCTGGATAGGCCCAAAAACACCTGATGGACCCAAAAAACACCGAAGAGACCCTGAAAACCACCCGAGAGACCCCAAAACCACCCCTGGATAGGCCCAAAAACACCTGATGGACCCAAAAAACAACTGATGGAGCCCAAAAACACTGGAGAGACCCCAAAAAACACCTGAGAGACCCCCAGATGGACTCCAAAAACAGCCCAGGGACCCCAAAAACACCTGATGGACCCCAAAAACAACTTATGGAACCCATAACCACCAGACGGACCCCAAAAACGCCCCAGGGACCCTGAGAGACCCCAAAAACACCTGAGGGACCCCAAAAACACCGGATGAACCCCCCCAAAACAACTGATGGACCCCAAAACAGCTGAGAGACCTCAAAACCACCTGATGGAGCCCTGGATGGACCCCAAAACATCGGAGAGACCCCAAAAACCATCGGATGGACCCTAAGAACACCT